TGTGTGTGTGAGTGCGTGTGTGTGTGAGAGTGTGTGTGTGTAATATATATTTACATTTAGATCTAACAGTCCAACGATACAATTAATTTATGCTCTATCATGTATACATTATAATAATATGTCAGTTTTGTCTGTAGTTTTAATTCTGAAAGAGCACGATCGGTAACTTTTTGTTGATTTTAGGCGCTATACAAACTAATTATTATCTTGAACTAATTGTTGTTATTGAGCTAATTATTATTATTAATGGTCCGGTGGACAGGACATCGGACTGACGGGGAAGCACATGTACTTCTGGGAGGCCCACACACGTTCTGTCTCTACATGGATTTATGTCGGTAAAACATCCATTGGTTGATCAAGTTAGTAACGAAAGGCGTGACGGACTAAGCAAATGGAATACGGAGTACAGCGCTTTAATGTCACATATGGCCATGCTTGTATAGGGGTTATTTTGTTACAAAAGCAACAGAGAAGTCAAGGCGACGGATGAAAAGATGGAGTTTGCGTGCGCTAAACCATCTGTTGCACGGTATCTGACTCACAAATCAATAGAAGATCGGAATATTTACCAAAAACCTAATTACGGTGGAGTCATTTCTGCTTCCCAATATTCTATAAATATAACTGGACAGTAGCATCGTTTCAGAAGCAGACTCGATATTTTGAGAACGGTTGCTGTTCTTTTCTTTTTCGTCAGAGAATGTTTGTTTTTTTCATTTGGAAGTTGGGTTCATTCAAAGGAGACTCGAATATCACATTACAAGCAAAGGACCCATGGACTTGTATTCATAAAGCAATAAAAAGCACATTTTCTAGAAAATTCAAACAAACATCCGGGTGAAAAAAAATTTGTCAAAATGTGGCCATTATCGTGACAACTCGATGTAAAACGAGACAAAAAGAAACGCGTTATCTTCACCATCGACAGATATGGGGACTCAATTCATGATCCATTCTACAATATACGGTTGGAACTTTAAAAGGAAAATCCACGAACACGTACTCCGGATGTAATTTTGCAGTTTTGTTCTATTTTATTTTTATTTCATCATATTTTTAAAACACGATTTTCCTTTGAATTCGGTTTTGCTTTGGTAGCTGCACAGCACAAAAAAACTAATAGATTATATAGAAAAGTAGAGTGGGAGACAAGAAATCGACTAGAAACGTGACGCTGGCGCTAAGAGCACGGCCTTTTGGTCACACTACATTAAATATGAAAGCAAGATACGAGCTAAAGAAAACATTGTGGACGGAGAGTTATGGGAACTCCGATGACTCGTAAGTTTGCGCATGTCACTGTCAAAATGTGAGGCCTTCATGACATTATACTTCAGATCTTTGGGACACTTGAGACGGAATGAAAAAGCTACAGGTTATTTTTACGTGCCATGATATTAGATGAAAAGAACTATATTGTTGGAGGCCTTTAAGGTGCGTAATATTGAAACTTGATGAGTTTCGACGCTATTTCATATGCATTTGAGTTGACTCCATTTTTTTATACAGGAAAGGATGGTGGTTGGGGGG